TGTACCAGGCTGCTGCAAGAGTTTAATTCAGTTCCAAGAGAGCTGCTAGATACTGACACCTCAGTGTTTGAGGGAAGAGAGGGGTTGATATTATTAGCTACAATAATAATGTGTTTGGTGCCATCTGCTTAAAATGGCAGAGTTAAGGTTGAGCTTTCAGTCACTGGAGTTGTTTGCAACATAATTTAGTTGGAAGGAGGTCGTCTGGCCTAGCCCCCTGCTTAAAGCAGGATGAATCTCAGGGTTCAGTCAGATGGATGGGCTCTTTGAGGCTCCACTATTTACATGTATTGTAACGTGGAGTTTTTGAGTCCAAAGTGAAGTTTGGGGAACTGTTTAGTCACAGATGCCAGCAGAATGTCTTCAATCACACTCTGTGAAACACAAAATGAAGTGTATCTTTCATAATTGAAGATACAAATGAATGAGGAAAGCATTTTAGATGTTCCTTGACAGACAATGGCTTGTTCATACCCAAACGAAATACTGCAGCTGCATGGACTTGGTTTACAATGGCAGAATTGAGTCTATAACTTAAATTTTTGCCCAGTACCTGTGTGTCTTATGATTACATTTGGATGTGGCTAACTTGGGCAAGTCAATTCACTTCCACTGAAATGTTTTAAGGAATTTTGCTCATTTCTATGTGTATGTGTGTTAGGAGTTTTTTCCCTTTTAGCTACTTTAGCAGTTAGATATTTGTTTTTCACTTACTCAGCATAAGAATCTTTAAAAATATATGTATAAACCAATCCTGTCGTTCTTCTCCTTGTTGCCTCACTCCCCATTCTACCTCAGGCTGTTGTTTTCTTTACCGAGGATTCCTGGAAGTCTGCTACCTCTGAACTGCTCGATGTGACGCGGAAGAGCTCAGCCTGAAAAGTAAAAGTTTTAGGAAGTCTTCAGGCACTCGAGTAAATGTTTAAGATCTGGAGCACTACGTTGCCTTAAGTGCAGCAATCGATACTCCTTGGGGTTTGGTTCTGTCTCGGAGGCTTGTCAGCAATGCAATTTGCGAATGAATGCCACAATTCCATTTATTCAAAGCTTGCATTTATTACAGTCTCAGGCAGAATTAAATGCTACATTGAGAAGTTTGAACTGCTGCTAGTTTCTGAGGAATGTGTTCAATGCAGGACAAACTGCAGTGGCAGTTTCTGCTGGATTTGTTAAAGGAGGAGAGGCAGAATTGATACAGTATTAGTTCCCATATCAAAAGCTGGATATCTGACTATGAGCGGGTGTAACTCTTCTTCCTTTCATGGTCAGGTACAGTGTTGGGTGTTCCAGACATTGTGTTGAAGTGTTCAGCTGTTTCTATACAGTAAAAAAACCACTTGAACTCTGTGAAGCCTTTTACTATATTGTCTTTATTGCTTGATTATATCATCAGAGGAAAAAAAATGCTGTCAAACAAGTAAATTAACAGTGATTTAGAGCTTCCTTCATTTTTTTATTTCTGCAGCTCGTTTCATCTGATACTTTCTGATAGCAAGAGAGGATGAACTGGATGGATTTTTCAAAAGACTTCCCAATGTCAGGAGTGCTTTTGCTGTTATTTGATATTTAAGAATTGCCTCCAACACAAAACACTTTTACCAGGAGCAGGAATGTTTCTCTTTCAGATGAGTTTTTTACTTTACTAGCACACGTGGCGTGTATAGGGGGAACCTTTTATTTATTCTTCTAGAATGTTTTATTTATTCTTCTAACGTGCTTACTATTTTTGACCTCTTACCACTGCAGGGGTCTTGATATGGCACATAGTCCACAAAAGAATCCACATAGGGAAAATTATTATTCTTGGTATGATGAGGTTAATAATTTCAATGCTCTCATTATGGTTGTCCTGGTGGTGCTGTAATGCTCCTCTCAAATAAACAGCAGCCTTTTGGTGGATTGAGTAACAACCCCATTACTCCATCTGAAAACACTTTTCTCATTTTGTCCATCTTGTGTTAATGAAGTCCTCACAGATGTTTCAAAAATACCTTCTCCCTTTGTGGGGACCCTTTCTGACATATAAAGTCTGTCTCTTTAAATTTGTATGCTGATTTGTTTGTTTGTTTGTTTGTTATGCTAACTAAGTCACTTTTACAAGATCATTCAGTGTTAAATGTCTAAAGCACATCAATGTTAGGCTATGTCTTAGTGTTGTCTGATGGTACAAAATATGGATAAATCACACTGGAGTATAGATTGGGGCACCAAAGAGTCAGTGTTGTGCTCATTAGTTAATTAAGTCTTTAAGATCTTATGAGTGAGATTTTAGAGGGGGTAGAGGTGCCAAAGATTTAGAACAAAACCACAAACCTTATAGTTGGCCAAAGAGCAAACCAGCAGGGAGAGCAGTGGAATGGGAAATGTAAGAGCATGCGGACAGAACGCATTTTTACTTTTAAAGTGGATGAAGAATGAGTATGACTTAATCTTTCTAGCAGAGTGATTGTTGTCTTTTTCATATGTAAGAAGGCAGGAGTAGGAGGAATTAAGTGTAGAAAAAAAAAAGGAAGAAGAGGAGCCAGGAGGAGCTGGCTGTTCAAAGTGAAGTATTAGTAATTTCCTATAATTTAATCAGACCAGATCCCAGAGCAAGATAATGAGAGCATGACCTACAAAAGAGGACTTTTTGGAAGTTAAAAGGGTTTCTAACATGAAGCTTCACAAGGCATGTGATTTGTCATAAAGCACTGTATAGAGGACTTCTTTTTTCCCCTTTCACATTGCAAAGAAATCATAATATAGACATCAATTCAGATGGTTAAGGAGAGCTGATATGTCTTGTGTTTGGAATCCTTTTACTATTGCAGCTTTTCAAGCATGACTCTGGAGTTCTTTAAGAGTATATCTTCTAAATAACAATTTGGATTTTTTCCCCCAATTTTTTGTTGCCTAGTTTGCTATTCATGGTACATGATTTGTATCATTTGGGTTTACGCATACAAATCCCTCCAGGATGTTTGGAGGCTAAAGTACCATATGCCTTTCAAAAATAATAATAATATACAAAATACCTGGACTGCAAAGTAGCCAGCACTATGTAATAAAATTCAGTTTTCATGGAGATGGGGGGAGTTTTCTTCCTCTCTCTTTTTGCCCCCCAAAGTAAAACTTTTTTTTGTTCTACTTTAAATGTTTTCTCTGAACAATACGTATTGATATGGGCATGAAGAATAATAAATTATATTGGGGTAAAGGGAAACCCCAAACCTTCAAAAAGGTGGATAATACCCCTTTCTCCAGGGATTTTCTTTTTTAAATGTAGTTAAATAATAAGACTCAGACCCATACTTCATTTGAAGGGATACGTGCTCTAGGGTACAGACAGCATCAATGCTACACTTACACACTGGGTTGTGGCTACTGCAGTGGAGGATTCAGCAACCTGTACCTATAAGCTCACTTGAAAGCTTGTTTCAGATTTTCGTTTTTGCAGACTTACAGTCACCTTTGTGGTACTGTTATGCTCCCACACACAGTTTCTCTTTTCCTTGCTTGGTATCCTTCTTGGTCGAGACACCAAATATTTTGAATGTCCTGTTTCAATGCCCTATCTAAATCTGACAGCTTAGGAGTTAGCTATATTCCTTGAAATGTCTTGAAATTTATTTCAAGGGATTTCCTTGATTTCCTTGTTTGTGGTGTAACTATACTGAGTATTGGAGTTCCAAGTTAAGCCTAACACTAAGATAAGGCTGTTCCATTTTGCAGGTTAAGAATTCATGCAGAGTCCGAGTTAGGGTAATTTAAGTAAAAAGTCGTGTTTGGGTTTTTTTCCTGGGAAACATTCAGTGAAGAGAGAAAAACTGGGCTGCATAAACAGTCCTTTCCCTCATTATTTTCAGTACTTGGACAACAGGATTGGGAGCAGAGGAAAAAGAGTGACTAGTGCTGATAGCACAGCAGACCAGGAGAGAGAAGGTTGCATGCGAGACTGATAATTTAGTTGCTGTTTAGAATAAATTCCATTAAAAATTAAAGGGTTACCAAGTGGTAGCAGTCTTTTAATGAGTGGTATAATCAGCAGTTTCAGCAAATGAAATTAGGTTCCAAACATCTGCACTGTTTTTTTTTCTTTTATTTGGGGTGCTCTCACTAGGGTAGAAATAACATTTTTGAAGCAACTCAAAGCTGACTACTGTCCTTATCTCTTTGAATTCTGCATGGCCCTACTCTAAGAATTCTCTTCCTCAAGAAGGGTTTGTAGCTCTGCTGGCCCTCATCTGGGGTTTGCAGCTTGGATGTGGTTTTCCTCTGTTGCAGGGCTTTCTATGCAGGTGGAAATAATTCTTTCCTGCATGGTCTCAAGTTTTATCTGAAAGTTTCTGAAAGGGAAAAGAATTGGCACAAGCTTGCTTTAAAGTTACAACTTCTTATTTTGAACTAATGTTTTGGACGTGTTCTGAATCTTGGTGCCTGTTAGATTGTGTATCAGGGCAAGTAACTTTTAGAAAAATGCATTAAAAGAGCTGCTGGTTTTACTGTGTATTTAGCTTAATGAATAATCCCCATGTGTGACTTTAATGAACACAAATTCTTTGCAAGCTTCTAGACTTCACTTTGATTTGTGTAGTAGGACAAATAATTACTCATCTCAAAAATTAAAATACGAACAGATCTTCCTCAACTAGATGATCATTATCTGGAGTGCAAAGTAAGGAACAGAGAGGGTGGCAGACAAGTGTATTTAGACAGCAGCTGGTGGTGTAGCTGTGTTTGTGTGCTTTCCTGAAGCACAGCCAGAGTCTCTCACTTTATAAACCACTGTGCCAAATCTAGACCTGGCAATTAATGACTGAGGACCCATTTCTTTATGTGTTTGGAGCAGAACTTCCTCTTATCTACCTCTCTGTTTCTGGCACTTCGAGCTGATGAGGAGCCCTTCTCAGGCACCAGAGTAAGCTCCAATTTCTGCTGCCCCCAGGCTCTCACCCTGCTCCTCCTTCTGGAAAGGAAAGGCTGACATAATCCTTTTGTCAATTCTGCATTGCCAAAGGGAGTTCTTTGCACAGTGAATAACTCTGAAGGGAGCTCTTCGGCCCACCTTGAGGTACTTGAACATTGCCCGTAAGACCTAAATATGCTTCATCATAATTGTTTATATTGTCTTCCTGCACAGTGCTGTGCCACACTGAGATAACAAAGCAAGCTCTAAATAAGCTGCCTTGTGTACAGGAGGCTGTTATCACAGCAGTGTGCCCAGGTTAATTCAGCTCGACTACTTGTGGGTATATTCCAGTTGGCTCAGATATCACCACATAGCACTGTGTTATTTAGTATGGACACACTCTCAGGAGAATCCAAGTTGTCTTTGAAGGCTTTTACTGGCCTGAATAAAAGTTCTTGGTAAAGGCCACAGAGTTTTCAGACAAGAAACGCACTTTGGAAAAGTAAAATCAAATTCTATTACCACTGTCACACCTGTTTGTTTGTTCAGCAGAAAAAGCCAGGAATGGATTAGACATGAATGTGAAACTTCCTCTTCTCTTCTGGCTATTCCCCTTTACTGAAATTTTAGGTGGGTTTTCACACAGAATGTCAAAACACATTGCTGTCATTTCTGCTGTGCCTGTGCCCTCTGTAGCCATAGCAGTAGTTTCTTGTCCTGGGAGCTTGGCGCAGAATCCAAACTTTCTATAAAATAAGGTAAGGTTTGAGTAATGTCTACTTCTAATTGAGTGCTTGCACATTAATTATGTGACTTCTGAATTAAGGTGGAAAGCTGAGGTGTAGCGTGTAAAACCGTGTGTCTGGGAGTGGGCAGTGCCTATTCCACATGGTCTGCTGCTGTGTGCCTTCCTACCACTATGAGTAGCTTCCTAATCCTCTCTTATTTGGCTTTGCTTGTTAACCCCAAGCAATCCTCTCAGGGGCAGAGAAAGCAGCTGCCTTTGGTAGCAAACACAGCACGACAAAACAAACACTTCTTGAAACTTCCCTTAGATACCTTACTATAATGTCATCCTTGCGGGAGGAATTAGAAAGTCGGGGAATATAATTTATGATGTTTTAATCTGACTTTGGGAGAGAGGAAAAAATGGAATTATAGGCAACTAGATTCCTGTGACAGGCATAATTTCAGTATCTGCAATCGAAACTTTTTGTTTCTGAACCAGTTGGAAGGTTAATGAGAACAAAACACCTTGGGTGAGTAATGGGGCAGAGTAAAATGGTAAATGAGGAGCCCATTATTTACCAGAAATCGAGCAGGAGAAGTTGCTTATAGCAAAAATAAACAGAAACTAGTTAAAACAAAAAGGGATTTTTGTTAAAGCAGGTGCTCTGATTGTTGTCACCTGCTGTGGTTGAATATTGCCATCCACACAGTTTGTGAGCTCCTGCCTTTGCTTTGTGACCCCTTGATAGGGGTTGTGAGCACAGTAGGGATAATTACAGGCACTGTAGCACCTTGATCTGAGGCTTCCCATGTTCTGTTTATTGCCACCTGCATATTAAGATGACAGGGATTTCTAGTTGACTTTGTTGTTTCTTTTACTTTGTTGATCCCTGGAACATCTTTAATAAATGTATTCTAAAGCAACAATTTCATGTATTTTAAAAATCCCTTTCCAAGAGTCAATGTTTTGAGTGCTTAATGTGTTTTTTCTCTTTCTGTGTGTTAGTAAAAAGGAAAGAAAGTTCACAGTGTTTGTTGTTGCTATCTTTCTGACTTCAATATTTAGAATAATTTAAGATGACTTCAGTGAATTCCCTTAACATTATTTTCAAATTTGAATTTAATGTCTGTTATCAGGAATGGGCCATCTTTGCAGCCTTCTCCTGATCTCCCTTGTAGTGCTAGGGTGATGCAAACGTTATGGAAGTTGCTTTGGTCCCCAGATGAGGATTCTTATTGCATGGGGATGTTTCTAGGAGAGGAATAATCCTATTATTTCATACATCTTCATATCACTGCAGCTTGGAATAGGCTGTGCATCAGAGATGGGAAGGGTTAGAGATGAAACCACAGCTGGAATGCATTCTGATCTACTTACTGCTTGTTAAGAGCCATTTCCAGCTGCTGCTGCTAAGCTGATCTCCAGGCTGAGGCTGGGTTAGAAAACACAAGGGACAGTCCGAGCTCTTGCTGTGTTCCTCCTTTGCCACATATCCACGTATCTCACAGGAGAGAGCCTGGTCCTGCGTGGAAATCAGACAGAAGTGTTGGGATTATTGACTGCAGTGGTAACTATTCTTCTGAATTTAGTGAAATGAACTGCTTTTGCCAGGATGCCACAGGGCTTGCTGGGAAATTGAGATGTCTTATTCATGCTCAGAGAAGAAAGTAATGACCTAGCCAAAAAAGTCAAAGTAGGCTTAGGTCAGGATGTACAACAGCACATCCTCTTATCAAGATAGGCAAACACAACCAGTTCTGTGACCATTTTTCAAACTCCAGTATGTCCTTTCTATGAAGAGCAGCTAGCCAGACACCTGCAGCAATAGAGAGACAGAGAGAGTATGTTCTTCTGCATTCCTGTGAAGCTACCTGGGTTAACCTTGTGCCTGGGAGATGAAAACCTCCCTTCACAATTAAGATTTTTTTTCTGTTGCTATTTGAGTGGTGCTGTAAGTGGTAACTGTGTTCCTTAAACAGTTTTGGGTCCAGGAGCTCTAGATTGCAATGACAGAGCTGTTGGGGTATATGATCATTGTGGGGATGTTTGGAGGCTCAGCAAGATAGTATACAGACATTAGATCTCTCTTTTTGGGTGCTTGTTTGGTTAGGTTTTTTTTCCTTGTGGCTCAACAGGAAGTTTTCTTTAGAGAATCTTCACACCTATGGGCAGAGCTTCACACACAGCTTTTTTCAGCTTTAATTCTTGTATGGTAATAATGCACTGATGAGATCTATTTTTCTTCTTTTTCTTCAAAAACACTTGTGGTGTAATCACTGCTTTTATTGCTGATAATTCTTCTCTTTTTCACCCTTTGCCAGTCAGTATTTATGATAAGGTTTCTATGCCATCTGAAGAAGATTGGTCAGGAAAAGGTAGGAAAGTAGAGAAAGAAATAGCTATTTTTCATTTTGGCAATAGCAGTACTTTGTCAGTGTGACACCCTGAGTGCTATTGGTGGTTTCAGAAGTTAATAGAAAGAGAAGTTATTTGGAACTGGTTCAAGAGAAGATACAACATACCTTTAAGCATTGGAGAGGAGAGGAAAAGTAAAGGTTGCCATTTGTATCATCCCTGACATTTTTGGCCTGCCTTAGGAAATTAGACAGTAGTAGTGGAGAAGGCAGATCAGAAGTACCCTGTTCTTCTGTAGGACTTCTGATTACTCTTTCAGCCGAATGTCTCCTGAATTTCTATTTTCTGTGGTAGCTGTAAGACATCAGAAAGTGCTCTCAAAGATTACCTTGTGCACGAGAGACAAGGAAATTGTTTCCTCCACCTTTGTTGGTTATGTATAGGGCATAGGAGTACAAGCCAGGGTGTTAACCTGCTGTTCTAGGCACATATGACCAAACAAAAAAATGGTTTCAGCCTAAATGAGAGCCTGGTTTCTAGTTAGGTCCTGTAGGAAAGATACACTTAGTAGTTTCTTGGGGAAGCTGAGGTAAGCCATTGAAGTTGTGTATCTGTAGAGCAGTTGTCCCTTGGAGGGGCAGTGGTCAGTGGGGAAAAAGTTGGAAAAAATGCTTCTTTAAATGTGTTCTGGATGCTGCTGTGTGTTTTGTGGTGCTACTGAAAACTTCTAACAGAGCTTGCCTCGAGTTATCAGAGCTGTGCTAGGCTTGTATCAGTCTGTCCCTGTACAAACCCTGGTCACAGTTTGTCACCTCTCAATTTCAAAACTTGACTATGCCTTTGAAAAGATACAGGAAACCAGTTCTGTTGCACAGTCCGTTGTGTTTAGTAATTTCTGTGTGTAGAGGAAGAAGGATGATACATACAAATATTCTTTTGGTATCAGCATCTGTGCATTAGCTATTTTCTGTTCTCCTGTCCTGGGAATCTCTTGCTCTTACCAGTGAGAGAGGAGGCATGGAAAGGGAAATTTTACCTGAGATCATGTGCATCTACCTTGCCATAAGTTTAACATTCCATTTTTAGCCCAAATCAGCTCACTGGCAAGGACCATGGCCTGTAGATTTTTGACACTCTTCTGCCACCTATGAGAATTGGACTGTTCTTTAGATTCCCACCAGGGGCCCTGAAGCAGCTCTGCCTTGAAGATGAAATCAATAATTGCAGTGCTTCAGTAGTGTTTGCTTGTCTTTATTTTCTCAGTGTGTTAAAGATTTCTCCCAATATTATAGACATGAGGGGAGAGCATGGCTTGGGGAGGAAGGTGATTTAGACCTCAAAGGAGGAGCTGGGGAGACTGGGAACCTCCTGCCCTGTGTTTGTGCTCAGCCAGGCAAGGAGTAGGGATGGAGAGAGAGCAGCTGCTCTTGCTGTGGTGTTCAGGTGGGCTGAGGCAGCTCTGAGGGTCCTCCACAGAGCCAGAGTTAATGTGGAACCAGCAGCCTCAGATAATGACAGCAAGGGAGATTTATTTTCTGGAGCTATCACTTTGGTATTTAGAAACCTTTTTTAAACAAGCCTGTTGCAATCTTGTTTATAGTAATTAAGGATTTGCTAGTAATTTAAATAGTTGGTTTTGGCAACGTGCAGGTCATCTTCTTATAGGTATTGCTAATGTCAGGTTGAAAACATTTACACAAGAATAAAAGTCAAGGAAGCAGGTAATTGACTGATTTATCAACCTTAGCAGACAATTTTTTCTGATACATCCTGATGGCTATGGTAAATTTACTCTGGATTGCTTAAGGGCACGATCCTATATGGTGTGTACAACACATGAGGGCAACTCCTTGGAATGAATGGGTGAAGGAGCAGGTAATCAGCCAGCCTGCTTTTGGTGCTTCAATTAGCCTTTTGGTCAATGGCTTGTCTCCTAGGAAAGTTGAGAATTGCTATGCACAGCTCATGACATTTACAGGGGTTTTTTTGGAGATTTTAGACCAATTTTAGTCCTTCAGGTAACACGAGAACTTTTGTAAACTTATGGCCATTCCCAGGCCATAATGCCAAGTTGCAGTTGTGATCAGGGAATTATTTATTTTTGTTGCAAATTGTCTGAATGCAACAAAGTGATATGTTTGAATACTTTTTTCACTTCTTTTGCCAGCTGCATTGATGCTTGCAACTTCTCCTCTGCTTCCTTTCCACCTGTAAGGGTGACGAAAATCATGTTGCTGTGGTGACCCTGTCAGTTTTAGATGACAGGCCACACTAAAATGGGTCACAGCTATTGAGGGTTAATCAGCACTGCAATAATCTGTAGCACAAATGGATCACTTTGTTCTTGGCTGCTGTGAGTTGCGAGGAATATTTGAGAATTCCCGTGCCTCCTTTTTTTACTGTTGGGGTTGTGAGTGCTGAAGTTTGCAGTGCATTTCAGGCAATGAAGATGCATTTTGTCACAGTAAAGAGTTGAGACAGCTGTCACTGCACCCAGGTCTGGGGAGGTGGCAGGTCAGGGGCAGGCCTTAATGAAGATAAATTG